GAAATTATATGCGTTACTTATAACAAAAAAAAAAAACAATATTTTAAATTTTTGTCTGGCTATTTCGTTTCTGTTTGTTTCGGCTAATCTCCGAAAGGGATAGGCCGATTTTGACGGGAGTTTCACTGTCAGATAGCTGATAAGTAGTAACTTAGGGTCCTTTTTTTTAGAAAAAGAATTAGGATTCTGCGAAAAAATTAAAACCCATGGAATCCAATCGTAATAAATTCCACGGGGTCAAAGTCGCGAGAACAGCTAGTATGTAATAAAATCGTTACGGAGAACGAAACGTAAATGTTGACAATCTGGAAATGCGGTAATAATGTTGATTATTTCCCCATAAAGTAAAATTTTACCACTTGGTCCATAGATATAATTTTTTAGTGAAATATTCTTATTTATTCACTTCCGTGATTCATTTTTTTTATTATTATATTTAATTACTACCAATAGTCTATGTTATGACCTATTTATACTAATATTGTAATATGATCCTTGTTGGTTGAAATAAAGTGATTATTATTATTGTCTGTGATTTTGAGATTTGGCAACACTGCTTGCAAACTTCAAATCAAAAGGGGGATTTTGTAGGGAACTTGACTGGAGGCGGATTCATGCTCCTGTATTATTGTTTAAATAATAGTTTGAAGTGGAGTTTGATAAAAGTGATCTAAAAGCAAAGGCACCTTTGTCCGTGAAATCTTCAACTAAGATAAAAGCGATATTTGTTTTAGAGATGAGGACAGTGACATAGAAGAATCTTTTTTACATTAATTGGGAAAGAACATTGTTTTATGATTAATAAATTTAAAAAAATCGTATTTACCATTCGTTTACGTATCTTTTCTAAATTTAAAATTTGGACAAAGTTGTATCTGCTTTTAATTTTTGGAGAGAAGCTTCTCTGCTTTTAACTTTTGGACAGAGGTTCATCTGCATTTAACCTGTCAGGACAGAGGCGTATCTGCTTCTGAACAAACTACAAAAAAACTTACAAATTTATATTTATATAGTTATTTACTTATAGTTAGGTTTTATATTTATGTAATAAATTAAGTTCGGAACATAAATTGCAAAAGGTAGTCCTTAATGTTTTTTGTATTAGCTTGTTTTTATTTAGCTTTCTTATGGACAACTTTGTGAAATACTGGACAGGTTGTCTTTTGCGTACACCTCTAGAGCGCCACCGACTAACATCTTTTACATTGTAATATTTTAATAAATACGCATCCTGTTCTAGTTTTGTGTTCAGTGCGTAAAAAGATTCAAACATTGTTATCGCTTACTATATCAATGTTTGCGTGATATAGTAAGCAATGCATTGCAATGACCGCATCGTAATGGCGGTGATATCTTGGGTTGTAAATCTAAAAGATCATCGAAATCGGTTCACGCAAAAATAGTTATGAGGTAACACACATAAAAAAAGAAACTTACATTCGAATTGAGTACCGCTATAAAAGTGGACAAAGGCGTCTTTGCTTTTAGACAACTCATATGCAAACGTGGTGTGATTTTGTGTATTAAATGTCTGCGCGTGTGAACTATTAGTGGAAACGGTGAAACAAGTGCTCCGATCAAGTTCAAAGTGCTCAGTTCAAGTTACCGTCAAAATCTCCTAACAACTACTCAATGTACGCATCAAAAAATCATATTGTGAAGCAGTGTATTATAAAGGATTATTATCACTTGATAGTGTGATAAATGAAAAGATGGATTAAAAAACACGCATCCAAGTCATAATCGTAATAATAATAATAAGAAAAGCCGTATATAGCGGAGTGGAGTAAGGTCCTTTATTTTCATCGTGGATCTTCAAAGCTAAAGATAATCAAATCCAAATTGGCATCCCGACTGTCTGCTTTAAAGGAGCATGCCGCTGCAAGTAAACATAAAAAAACATCCGTGAGTGTCGTGGAAAATTTGATTGGAACGAAGTTCCTTTCGTAGTGTTTTATTATTGATAAACGTATTATATTATTGATTAACAAATACAAATAAATGAATTATTAGCGTCTAAAAATGAATCGTTATTTAAAATACAATAATATTTCTTTCATGGCAAAATAATAAAAAGTGCGAGGGAGATGGATATTATTTCATCTACCTTTTTCACAAGGCCTTTGTCTAGTCCCCATCCGTCAAATTCGTACCGTCCGATAAGAAACTTCGTTCCAAAAATATGTTTGATTTCAACATGCGAAACAATATTCTGTCAAATAAATCTAATTAAGACAAAAACACGAAACAGATTTAGATATAAACAAACATGAAGCGTCTATCTTGCACGTTAAACAAGGCATTGGTAAGCATGGGGATTGCATTGCATTCAAACCAACGAAAGATTTTTAATTTAATAAAAATCATCATTACAGCCTATCATAAGTCCACTGCTGAACATAGGCCTCCCCCAAGGAATGCCACAAAGCACGGTCCTCAGTCAGCTGCATCCATCGAATGTCTTACCAGGTCGTAACTCCGTCTCGTGGGGGGGTCGCCCTACACTTTACCTACCGGTACGAGGCTGCCACTCAAGAACCTTTCTGCCCCATCGGTTGTCGGTTCTTCGAGCTATATGGCCGTCCCAATGCCACTACAGCTTACTAATCCGTTGAGCTATGTCGGTTACTCTGGTTCTACTGCGGATATCCTCATTTCTAAGTTTATCACGCAGAGAAACCCCGAGCATAGCCCTCTCCATAGCTCGCTGAGCGACCTTGAGCTTCCTCATAAGGCCAGCAGTGAAGGACCACGTCTCAGATCCATAAGTCATCACTGGCAACACGCACTGGTTGTACAATTTCGTTTTAAGGTTTTGAGGTATGTCTAAAGAAGATGTGTCGTAGTTGCCCGTAGCCCGAACGCTGCCCAGCCGAGTTGAATCCGTCGATTGACCTCTCGGTCGAAGTTGGACTTACCTAGTCGGACTATTTGTCCCAGGTAAACATACTCGTCAACAACTTCGTGCTTAGTGCTCCCAACAACTACCAGCATAGTGACATGGACGTTAAACATGATCTTTGTTTTGTCCATGTTCATCTTAAGACCTATCCGTTGGGAAACACTATTGCGGTCATTGAGCATAATGCTTAGAACTTCCAGCGATTCTGCCATAAGGACTATATCATTGGCAAATCGAAGGTGAGTGATGTACTCGCCATTGATGTTGATACCGTATCCTTTCCAGGCCAGAAGCTTGAAAATATCTTCCAATGCAGTGGTGAAGAGTTTCGAGGATATGACGTCACCCTGTCTTACACCTCTCTGCAATTGAATAGGTTTAGTACTCTGGTTCTGTACTCGGACAGCCATCGTAGCCCTACTGTACAAGCACTTCAACACTTCGATATACCGACAGTCAACTTGGCACCGCTAAAGGGACTGCAGCACCGCCCAAATTTCGACGGAATCAAAGGCTTTCTCATAGTCCACATACGCCAGACATAGTGGCAAATTGTATTCCTCGGACTTCTGTACAACTTGCCGAAGGATATGTATGTGGTCATCACTGAACAGTTGTCGCCTGGTCGTCATAATGAAGTCAATCTCATTTTTTGTCGAACCGTAAGGGCTCAACCATGTCCACTTCCTGTGGGGCCGCTTCTGGAAGAAAGAGTTCATCATAAAGAGTCCCTCTTTCTCCATGAAGTCGGCCAGCTGCTGGCCCCTTGGGTTCCGTTGCCCTATTTGAAATTTCCCTACTTTCAGCTCACCGTTCTCTCTTGTGCCTAGTTTTGCATTGAAGTCTCCCATTAAAACCGTATAGTGGGTTTTAGAGGCATGCATGGCTCTAGAGATATCCTCATACATTTCCTCCACCTCCTCATCGGGGTGTGCCGATGTTGGTGCGTAAACCTGTATGACCTTCAGCGAATACCGTTTGGTAATTCTGAGTATAAGGTACGCAACCCTCGTCGACACACTCTCAATCTTTACAACGTTGTTAACGAGAGACTTGTGGACGATAAATCCGACACCTTCTTGGGACAGATGGTCGCCCTCCCGGTGATAGAGCAAGTTGCCGGATTCGAGGATTACTGTGTCCTCCCCCTCTCTTCGGACCTCGGATAATCCTATAATATACTAGCGTAACTTGTCTATCTCTTCTTCCAGCTCCACGATCTTCTCGTAAGTCCTGAGGGTGCGTGCGTTGTATGTTGCCAGGTCGAGTCGTGTTAGGTGGCAACTAGAGATGGGCAAATGCCCGGGCATTTTAGGCAAATTGGGAAAATTCCTAATAAGCGCCGATAAATTTCTGTCCTTGGGCATTTATCTGGGCATAAATTTTTGTACCAAAATTGATTTATAAGATTTATGTTAGCATTGAAAGCTGGTCTAACTTGTTGAGTTTAGTTAAGATTAATTATTTAAAGGTGTTATTTTATGAATTTGCATACGTTTTTTTTAAATATGTTTATTTTACAAAACCATGTTTACGACATAAATGTTACGAATTACGCCGCAGCGGGAAGAAATACTTGTACCGAGTGAGTGAGTGAGACGTGCGGGACGAGGGATGCGTCCAGGCAACACACCGCGCCGCCATTTTGTTGTTAGTCGTCCTGTGTCAGTTGCAGTTACCGCACGTGCATTCTATTTGTGTCCATTGTTTGTTGTATTCTAGTTCCGGTTAACCAATTTATGCATTTATTAGTATTAAGTGTGTGATAATTTACTGCTTGCTACTTGTAAGGTAAGTCTTTCTTTTTTTTTGTGTATCAATCAGATATTCTTATTAAAAGTAATAAATGGTTAATACCCTCTGCATACTTTTTGATATACAACAAGAAATAAGATATCTTGTAAAAATGGTTGTAAAATAAGTTACAAATTAACTTACTTATTACTAAAGTGCTTGCTGTATGAAAAATATTTCTTGTTTTAGCGCCATGGGAAGATCAAAAAATCATACTATATGGAGGCACTATCATCAATTACCAGACAATTCCGTAAAGTGCTCTTTTTGCGAAAAGCTTTATAAAAAGGGGCATGTAATAAAAATGCAGCAACATCTTCTGACCTGCTTTAAATGCCCACAAGCCGTAAAAAAACAAATTAACGATGTCAATAAGTCACAATCCAACTTAACACCAGAATCCACAACCACTTCATTGAACTCGGAGAACACATCGACCGAGAATATTAGAAATTTAAGAGAAGAGTTTGCGAAGGCTCTATTAATCACGGGAACACCTCTAGCAATGGTAGAACACCCATTGTGGGTAAAATTTTTTGAAAAATTAAATTTTAAATTGCCTAATAGAAAGTCTATTGCAACTAAATATCTAGAAAAAATATATAAAGAGATGAATAAAGAAATCAGTGATGATTTAAAAGCATCAAATTTTCTACACTTGCAATGCGACGGCTGGACTGATGTTTGCAATGAAGGCATTATAAATTTTTTAATATCCAAGCCAGAACCTGTTTTTATAAAAAGTCTGAACACACTTGATAATCGGCACACAAGTGAGTATTTAAGTTGTGAAACTGAAAAAGTAATGAAATCTTACGGAGTGAGTAAATTTGTGGTCCTTATTGGAGACAACGCACGAAATGTCCAAAAGTCATTCGAAAGGATAAAAAACAAATACCCACATATTGTGCCATTGAACTGTGCTGCTCATACTATGAATTTATTGTGCGTTGATGTAATAAAAGCACCCGAAGTTAAAGCTTTCATAGATCTCGCAACAGATGTTATTAAAAATATTAAAAAAAGTCAAATCTTAAGTGCTTTATTAAGTAAAATTAGAAAAGAAAAAAGCTCTAGTCAGAGTCTAAAATTATCCTGTAAGACAAGATGGGGCAGTCATGTCAGTGCACTAAAAAGTCTGAAAATTAATAAAGCTGCACTACAGACTTTAGCTGTTAATGACAACCTTCAGCCAACGCCCGATATTAAATCTACACTTTTAAATGAAGATTTCTGGTCTATGATAGAACAATCCATCAGTGTTCTTGAGCCTATAGCAGAAAGTATCTTTAAACTAGAAGGCAACGAATTCAACATACATGAAGTATTTATGGTGCTAAGAAACCTTAAATCAAAGTTAGAATTTGTGTTACCAACAATCACCATGCTGGATGACGAAAGCAAGGAGAACATAAAAACTTATATTGAAAGACGAGTTAAGCAGTGCATAAAACCAATACATTACGCGGCCTACATGTTTGATCCTAAAGCTGCTGGCATTGAACTAAATCAGTAGGAAGAAACTGAAGCCATGGAATTAATCTATAACCTCGCTGAGCATTGCAACATTGACTGTCTTGCTGACCTGGCTAAATATAAAGCTAAAGAAGGTCTTTGGAGCAAACCATTTACTTGGAAGGCCGCTGAAAAAGTAAATCCCATTTTATGGTGGAAGGGGATATGTGGCTCAAGTCAGTTAAGTAAAGTTGCACTTAGAGTATTGACTGCACCCTGCACGTCAGCAACCACCGAACGGTCGTTCAGCACACAGGGATTTATACATAGTGCTAAAAGAAACCGTCTCACATCCGAAAGAGCGGCGAAAATAACTTTCTTATCGTATAATTGGAACTTATTAAATAAAGGTGAAAACATTAATCGTGTTTACAGTGAAGATACTGTTCCAGACAGGTCCGACATGGAAGACACAGATGATGATATGTTGCACGATGCTGCCATGGAGGGTCAAATACAAGAGGATATGGAATCTTCTCTTAGGGAGGATATATGGAACGATATGGAACCAGTAGCTTCAACTTCACGACAAACTAATCATATTGAATTCGTAAATATTAGCGAATGTTTATATGATACCGATAGTGATTAGGCTAATGGAACTTGCAATACAATAAAAAATACTTTAATTATTATACCGGTCGGGTGTTAACAATGATTCTCTAGTGTGATTATAATTCGAAGTATAATAATATTGATTTTTAGAATTTTTACAATATTGTTCCTATTAATGCTAGAAGTCATATTTTTATTATTTGATTAGTACATATTTTTTATTTTATTAATTAAGCACATATTCTAATATTTTTTATATAAAAATTATATTGTTGATTCTTGTTAAGATTTTCACATGACAAAGTATATCAATGTTATCATTTTAAAATAAAAACGTGTTCAATCATGAACATTCCTTGTTTTATTTCTTTAATAAGTACAATTTTACATTAAAAATTAATTTGACCACGTTTTAGTATTACTTTTTCTTGCCCTGTAATTGGACATATATAGGGCAAAAATAAATTTATGCCCAAAATGCCGGCTTCTTGCCAATTTTTCCCGCCGGGCAGAAACACATTGCCCATCTCTAGTGGCAACCGAACCTCCACCGGAGATTCTTAGCACCCCCTGCCCCGCCGTTACCATGGTCGCCACCGTAGCCAGGAATAGCGGGGCCGCCGGGGACTGGGGGCCGTCTCTTTGTTACTCTCATCATAGGGGGTATTTGCCATAGTTGCCACGTCTGGCGAGCGGGTTCGCAACAGCAGTTTTTTATTGTAATTTTGTTGTTATCAGGAAGATGCTGCTGCTCATCTCCTGCCCGTTTCCCTTTATCGCCTTTTACGGCACCCACGGGAAGATATGGGTTAGTGGACATTCTTAACCGCCACTACACGGCACAAATATAGCATTTAAATAAAAATAGACCATTTAAATGTGTATTTTTACTTTTCTTACTTTAATACAATTACATAATGGTAAATAAAGTTAGCAGTATTTAGGCATTTTTCACTACAGATTTTGGCAGGATTTGGCAGGTTTTTAACCAAAGTAAGGCAGGATCTGTATTTTAAAGATGGTCACACTGCTTCGCATAATACTGACTTTGACGAGTTTTGGCGGGAAATTGACCGGCGGCGGTTTGCTGCTCCTGTATTATTGTTTAAATAATGGTTTGAAGTGGACTTTGATATGTAAAAGTGTTGCGATTTTGTGTATTAAGTGTCTACGCATGTGAACTATTAGTGGAAACAGTGAAACAAGTGCTCTGATGGTGATGTATTCTCAAGATAAGCTGTTTGTTTGCATAGGCACCTTTAGATACCATCACCAACTATCAGCTGTCTGCTGGATCAAGTTGCCGCCAAAATCACCCAAGAACTGCACAATGTGACGCATCAACATATTGTGAAGCATTATACTATGAAGGAGTGGGGAAATTACAATAAACCGAATAAAAATACTTAAGACTTGGCCTAAAGGTCTAGATACCAGGCCATAAACTCCAAAAAAAAAAATACTGACTTTGACGGAGTTTTGACGGGAACTGACGGGAACTGACGGGAACTTATACTTACCTACTTATAGTTTAAATAATAATTTGAAGTGGATTCTGATATGTAAAATTGGTGCGATTTTATGTATTAACTGTTTACGCATGTGAACTATTAGTGGAAACTGTGAAACAAGTGCTCTGATGGTAATGGATTCTCAAGATAAGCTGTTTGTCTGCATAGGCGCCTTTAGATACCATCGCCAACTGTCAGCTGTCTGCTGGCTCAAGTTGCCGTCAAAATTTCCCAAGGTCTGCACAATGCGACGCATCAACATATTGTGAAGCAGTGAACTATGAAGGATAATTATACATGTGGGGAAATTATAATAAACCGAATAAAAGAACTCAAGACTTGGCCTAAAGGTCTAGATACCAGGCCATAAACTCCAAAAAAAAATACGGATTTGACAATTGACGCAATTGACATAATAAATAGTAATTATCTAGAACTAGAATATTTTTGTTGTTTCTAACGATTATCTATTGGTAATAGACTTATTTTGGAAAGCAACTAAAATAAAGGGACATGAAGTCGGACCTAGATTCAACAAACGAACCAAACCCAGCTGTAACTGGTGATGTCATAGGAGATACTGCATACAGTGAACGCTTTGTATTAAAAATACTATTGAAACTAGCTAATTTGGATTCTCTTAAAGATGAAATAAATGAAAAATCATTTGAAGACGACATTTGCACGCTGTGGGATATGACTGTTGAAAGAGACGTGGTATTGTTTCTTTTGAAACATAATGTGTTAAATCTCTTCAACTTTGCGTTACCAGTTATCGAAACGCCCCGTTATGTTGAAATTTTCGTTGGTATAATAGGTAATATGTGCTGTCAAAAAGAGGCAGCGAAGAAACTATTGGATATGGACAAGTTTTTGTTGCTATTGCTAGAGTATATTAAGACAGATGATAGTTTGATACTCATTCAGTTGCTTCGTTTAGTAAGCTCCAGTTTATCTTCAATTGATATTAATGATATAATTGTTTGGATCAATATGTTCAATAAAGTTGGATATCCCAATTACTTATATTTTATTCTTAAAAACTCTTCTAATATGCAGCTTCTAGTAACTGCATTAGAAAATTTTAATACTATATGTTCATATTGTAATACACAAAGATTTAGAAGAAAATACTATGAATTTTTTGTTACTAAAGATGCACTAACATCACTTACAACTGCATTTATGGAAATTACTGTCAGTCAAAAAGATACCTGTTCAAAAGATGAAGTTGAAAGGATTATTGTTATAAGTTTGCAGATGACTTTAGACCTGGTTAGTTTTGAAAAATCTGACGAAATATTTGATGACTGTAAAGAAAATGTAGCAGCAATAATAGGTAATGTTTTAAAATATTATCAAGCAAAACTTGTACAAGAAAAAGAAATTGATTCAGACTTGGTAGACTTAATTGACTGTATAAATAATATTGTGAGAATTATTCCAATAAGTGAAAGTTGTGAACCAGACATATATTTTGATAGTTGCTATAGTATATGGAAAGCTTTACAATCTATAACTAAAGTAAACCAAAATGGTGACAATAACTTTGAAGAAGTTGATAAAGAAGAATTTCAAGATTTTGTTAAGAATATGAAGTCACCATTGAGTATTTTAATGTGTAGTTATATGGAGAAATGTTCACATGAAAATTTATTAGTAGTATTAGATAAAATTGGCAAAGAATATGAAGATATATTAATACTTGTAGATGCTGATGTCAAAATGGCAGTTTCAAAGAGAACATCTGACTTTAGAACAAGAATAAAAGAAAATGTAGATTCATAGACTTTTCTTTTGCAATTTAATAAATTTAAATTTAACACCTTTACCTTAAATTTAGAACTTTTAATTAATAAAATTTAATCCATGCAAATAAGCAAAAGCAAATGTTACCAAAACTGAGAAATGGAATGAGAGTAATTATTATTTTATTTATATTCAGTATTAGAAAAATAATAATACTATATTTTATGACTTTTAAATACTGTATCATTATATTATCCATTCCTATAGAAAAAAAGTCTCTTGAGACTTTGTTTTGAAGATGTATCTAATAAATATATAGATACATTTGGGGATTAAATACCCACAGTTCTCTTATTAAAATTTGTATATAAAAGCAAATTTAATTCTAAATATTTATGTTTATTTTCTAAATTAAATGAAACATTTGAATTTGGGAACAAAATCATTTGTTCTTATTAAAATGAATTATTTTCAACTGGACATTTTACACATCTAAATTAATTAAAATAGAAATTGGGACCAAAATAATTTCAAAATAATATTAAAATAAATTATTAACAACATTTTACACATTATTTTCAAACTTCACTGTTTCAATTTTATTAGCGAAATAAATAACGTAACATATTAAGATTCTTGATAGCTTATTGCTGTTTGTTTTCTTTTGACTCCATTTACATTTTAGTTTTAAAACGACCGTGGATACATTACGTTTATCTATATTTAAGATCAACTTGTTTGAAGGATAGTAGACTAGATGGGTAAAGAACTGTATAAACACAAAGTGCTACATGGTCAAATACGACAGCATAAGCGACGTTTCAAAATCAATTTGAACAATTTTTTTACATAAAGTACATTTAACGAAAAAAAACAAAGTTCTTTAGTAGACTTATGAGTCTTATGACGACTTGTTTGTAAAATACAAACAAAAACATTTATAATAAGAGTTCTGTGACAGAAGCACAAACATCCTTTATGTCTGATAAAGTGTAATTCCATTCCCTCTGGTAACGGGAGCAACAGCCTTTCCTCTTTCAAAACGTCAGAAATAAGTTCCCATGAAGGTCATCCGAATTAAGCTGGTTCTAGCCCTCGCGAGACGGTACGGTTAAGTCTCCCTGGTATATAGTGTAAGTATTATTCATGGTTAAGTCATTACCTAGCAAAAGCTAGCCCACTCCATTTATCAATACGAGATTGTAGTTCCGCATTTTTAATGGGTATAATGCCGTCTGTTGAACGATTGCCAGGAATTTGTTCGAAGGCATCCACGACTATTTCTGCCACCAGGCACCAGAGCAGCGTTACTTTCGAGTGAGGTAAAATATTTGACAGATTTCATAATGGGGAAATTAATTTGTTAGCCAAATAGTAGTTATTTTTTATATTAATTACCTAAGTACATTAGAAATTAATAAATTAGTGACCGACCGAAGATTAGGTTTTGGCAAGTTTCGGCAAAAAGATTTACTTTCGGTAACGGTTTCAGTTTCGGTAACGGTTTCGGTTTCGGCAAAAAATCTGCCTAATCTTCCGCGGCGCCGTAACTCAGTGTTCATGCATTATGGAAAAAAACAGTCATAACTGTCGGCAGTGGCGGCGTAGCGTAGGTTGACATCCAAGATGGATTTCTATCAAGCACCTTATTCTATTATTCCATTCGTCATCATCATCATTACAGCCCTTCACAAGTCAACTGCTAAACAAAGGCCTCCCCCAAAGAATGCAATACAGCACGGTTCTGAGCCACCAGCATCCATCAACTTCCTGCATA